GGGGGGTTCATCTTTGAATGCATGATTAATGTATTTAAGTTGATGCCACCTGACACAGTGAAAAAATATGTGAAAAATGTGAAGTTACATTTTGTCTCTCAAAAGTAAAGATACCTATAGATCAACTAGTTTGCCACTGTGAAGAAACAGGTAAGAAATTGCCAACTGCAATTGAATACTTAAATGTTTCTGGTGGAACTGTAATGAATAGGTGTTATCTTTCCAACTTTTTGGGCAGCTGGGCCTCAGAATTTTTTGAAGAACTAAGTTCAGAGTCTTGACAGCTTTTAATGCATATGTTGCTGAAAACCACCACTATTAGATTGTTCTCCTGTAATTATTACCTGAAGATGGGATTTGATTATGACCTTGCAGGAAGAAGACCTAAAATCAGTTTGATAATTCGTGGAAAGAAAAGATTTGTTTTCAGCTAATTGGAAAATACCAATGTTGGGAGGGGGGAAGAAAAGCAGGGAAAGGGAGAAAAATCCTAGCTGTTTTATTAGCTCACTCAGCTGTGAAGAATTTCCCATAGACTTTGATCAATGTACTATTTGACTTCTAAATTTTGTTACATGTGATTATCATGTGACCAGTGAAAACTAAGAACAACATCAGCATCTGTTTTCAATTTAAAGATGGACATAGTTGCTCAAGCTTTATTGTGAGACCCTAGCCATTAAATTAAAACTAGTTTTGGAATACCTCAACAATTTTATCACTGAAAAGACTACAATTTTACATAAAGCAAAAACAGAGGAAAAAATGGTTGGAAGCTGGGAGAGGGCAGGTTTAGACTAGATACAAGGAAGAAGTTCTTCACCCTGAGGGTGGTGAAACACTGGAACAGGTTGCCTAAGGAAGCTGTGGATGTTCCTTCCTTGGAAGTGTTCAAGACCAGGTTGGATGGAGCCTTGAGCAACCTGGTCTGGTGGAAGGTGTCCCTGCCATAGCAGGAGGTTGGAACTCGATGATCTTTGAGGTCCCTTCCAGCCCAAATCATTCTGTGTTTCTATGAAAAAAATCTTTTTCTTGTGGTCAGGAAAGTGGTTGTTGTTAGTGACCAGAAAAGAAAAACACAAGCTAAAAAAATGCATTGTTTACATATTTACATGTTTTAGTCTGTGGCAAGTCCTCTTTTCATGGAGCTCTACAGTAAGAGAGACTTCCTTTAGAAGAGGTGCTGCTCTTCCTTCTCAGCTTTTTCTCTCCTGGTTCAGCACAAAATGAATTTGTTATCCCTTTGCTTTATCAGTCTCCTGAACCTGCTGTTCTTGTGAAGCACTAAAACCAATCAAGATTTTCAAGTTTAGTTGTTATAAGTCAGCACTTTTAAAAGTGATTTAACGTGTAATTGCTAGGAATCCAATCTGAGATGCTTTGAGGTACAGGTTTCTAAAAGGTGGCCATCATCACTTCTGAAAACCAAGTCTTTCTAAAATTTTTAATATTACATTCCCAGAACTATTGATCACTTTTTAAAACCACAATAATTTTTGTGGGAATAATAATTTAGTTCCTTAATCTACATCCAGTCTGTTGAGTCTGCCATTACCTGAACTGGGCAGGTGTCTGCAGATATGGAAAACAAATGAACAAACAAAAAGACATGTAAACACCCTAAGAAAAGAATTATAGCAGAACCTATCAGCCAGGCTGATAGAGATCATGAAAGAGAGGTATGTTCTATTGCACAGAATTGCTACTAAATACAGTTGTTTCTATATGTACTGTCTTGCAATTACTTCCTCAACATCAGTTTCATCAGATGCCAAACAGTCTGAAGTAGCTTCTTTCTGTAGAGTGCTGGCATTATAGTGTTTTGAAACCTGGGAAGCTGAAGGAGTTTCAGTAAGTATTTAAATAGCTAGCACTTAACCTTTTCTTCTTTTCCTCCTGTTCTGTCTTTGCTGGTGTCACACCGCTTCATTAATTTTCCAAGTTTACATTTTGTTTTTCAAACCCCAAAATGCATTTTAAAGTGGTTCTGTGGTAGTGTAGAAACTGGGGTTTTGAAATGTTTCTTTAGCTGCCTTTAAAAATAATGCAATAGAAATGGAGTTGTGGATCATGAAGTTTGAGGAGACTCTCAGCAAACTCAACAGTTTATTTTCATCCTGAAAATATTTGGTGCCTTTTTACGGGTCTTCGCTATATCCATTCCAGTTTTCCAAAACCGTAAAATATATTCTCAGCAACTTCCCTGCAGTTTTCTGATTCTATCTCCATCTTTCACATATGTGGGTTTCAGAGATGTGATTGCTCACTGCTGAAACAAAGACAAACAAAAAAGAAAATTGCAGCACTTTTTTGCTAAATCTAACAGTTAACTTTGTAGGAGATTTCATTTTTTAAGTGTACGATATGTTCCAGATAATGTCTTATTTAAATAATCATCTGCTTATATTTTCATTCAAGCTGAGAAAAGAAATCAGAACAAAGAGAAAATCACTGCCCAAGAGGGTAACACTGAAACGTATTTAAAATAATTGTCATACCATTGTCTAACTACAGTATTTGAGAATTTTTAAGATTATTAGCCATCTCCTGTATTAATTACTTCAAAGCACTGCTTTGGTGGGCAAACAGGGTAAGAAGAGGGCCAGAGTTAATCAGAATTTATTAGTAATAAGGACACAGAGAAAGAGAGAGCCTTACAAGTAGTCCACCAGGGAGACAGTCAAACCCACACCTTTCAGGAACCTCATTTTTGATAAATGCTGAGAGAAGAATTTCAACTGGCTGAAACAAAGGGAAGTTGAATACATGAATCAATGTAGTGTGAGAAGATTTATAAGCATAAGGTGCAACTAATCTTCAGCTCACGTTAACATACATTAGATTATTATTAGTCATTAGAGATACCCAAACTCTGACTGCAGAAGTATCAATCTTGCTAAGTTTTCTTTAAATAATTACATTCAAAAAACTTAGATCATCTTTTAGTTTTTTGAGAAAGACATTTTTCCCAGCCTTAAAGTTGCTGCATAGCTGTATATTGCCAATATGGTTTAAGGAAGCAAGTAACGCTAATTGTTTATACAGTAAACTAAGTATTTTTGGACAAAAATGGAGTTGTATAAGTGTGAAGTATTGTTATGAATATGCTTATCTTAGCTTTCCTCAAAGATTATAGTTCCCGTTAAAATTTCAGTGTTCTTTTGTAATTAGCAGATTATTATACTATTGTTACTGAATGCAGCTTATGTTTTCAGTACTTTTTTATCATTTTAGGTCATTGCAACCATCCCAACAAGTAGGCTAAAGTTTTTAAAGGAGGCAGGGAGGCTCACTGAAAAGGAGGAGGTCCCTGAAGAAGAACTCAATGAAGATGTTGAAGAAATTGATCATGCAGAAAGAGAACTTCGACGTGGACAAATTCTCTGGTTCAGAGGGCTCAACAGAATCCAAACCCAGGTATGCTAAAAGTAAATGTCCACATGTTCTAGAAAAAACCCGCTTAATCTTTGATCAAGGCAAGGAAAGACACAGAGTGTTTGTGTGGGCAAATGATGGTACTTGTTAATTGCTTTGCTGTTTTCAAAGGAGGAACACATGAAAAAGTGAAATAGGTGAACTGAACAAAGGGAGATGTATGTGTATAGCAGCAGAGATAATGTGAAAAGATTATAAAATGATAATATGCAAAAATACTTTTTTTTGAGAATACTGGGAATGGAAATTCATTTTCTACTTCAGTGATGACAGCTCATAAAGTAGTGCTACTTGGAAAATGCTGGCTGTGACAATGCCTAGGAAAAAAATTATAAAGGCTTTCTAAGCATACTGTTTTATTTTGTCAAAAATATATTGTAGCTGCCACTTCTGCAATAACAGAATGATTTAAATTGTTGAGTCTAAACTATAAAGTATCATTTCTGTTCTGGCACTACCATCTATATCTATATCTATATATATCTTTATATATATCTCTCTGTATATATAATGAGTAAAAGGAATTGATTTTCTTTCCTATTTAGATAATGAAAAATGTGGCTCTGGATTTATTTTTAGTAGTAAGGGCCTAAGCATCCATTAAGTATTGAAACTGTGAATGATTTCGTAGAAATATCTATCGTTTTATTTAAAACAAACAAACAACTTTTGCTAAATAGAAGAATCCCTGGCATTTTTTAATATACTAAATATTTGCACTGAACCATGGTGCTAAATATGGTACAGATTAGGATATATAATTAAATTTGCCCTGCAGTACTAAAAAAATTACTTGAACTATTTTGCCTTTTTCATTGCAGTGAAGTAGCATGTTTTATAGCACTCTAGGGCACTCTACTTGATCTTTCCAAGACCAAGTATTTGCACGAGCTTGCAGGAGAGAGCAGCTCTGAAAGACCGATATGTACTCGCCGTATCAGATGTGAAAGTTTTATATGATTCTTACAAGAAAAATAGCTGAATAATTAAGAAAAAAAATTTTTTTCTTTAAAGAATCTTTTAAAGAACATTTTTATCTCAGAAGATTTTGATTTTTGTCTTCATTCAAGGTAAACAGTACTTTCTCCTTTTCCCATCTACAAATTGATTATTTTTTTTTTCTGGAGAAAGAAGTGCAGTCATGCATTTTAGAAAAAATGAGGGAAAGAGTTAACTGAAGGAGAGACAGTCTTTAATGCATCTACAGAGCAAAAAATAAAAAGGATGGAAACAGTTTTTGGAGAGATTAAGGGTTTGGGTAAATTCCCAGGGTTCTATGGTAATTAATTAAATACGGATCTTCAGCTTTTAGATTGTGTGTCTTGACTATATTGAGTCAGGAGCACTCATCATTAGAGAATATTCAGATGGTCACAGTATAAAGGTGGCAAACAGGTGCCCATGTAATGGTGATCTTTATGAAAAGATGACCTCTAAATGTGCATTCTTTTCTTCCTGATGGCTATAGGAGGAGTGTTGTCTGTTGGCATTTCTGTCAGGATGTCTTTCTGGTTGTGGTGAGTGTAAGCAAGCACAAAAACACAAATTGCATCCTTTCAGTTCTTTTTCTAGCCTGAGAGGTAGCTTTTAGTTCTGCATATCTTTGTTCACTTAATTCACAGATAAATTATTATTCTTTTATACTACTTAAACCAAAATGAACAGTAATTATATTTCCCTGCTAACATCCATCTTCTTAGCTTCCTTTCTGCTCTTAGTTGTAGAAATATCTTTGTTAGGATGTATTGTTTCTCTCCTGCCAAGAGGCCTCTGATTTTTTTTCTCATTTTGTTTATTCAGTGACTTTGATTTTTACATCCATTTCACATCTGTGGAATGATAATGAAAAAAGGAAATGGGCCAACAGATTCAAAAATAGTTCCAAGGTGTCCACTGGAGAGTGATGAACTTATATGCAGGTCAAATTAGATCCATTGTTGGATGGACCTTGAGTTGAGCGCATTTTGATGCACAATGTGTTGCGACCCATCCAAATGAATTCATACACTTGTACTACATTTCTCAGGAAGCCAGATAAAGAAGAGTTGATGGAAGAAGATGAGGATGTCATCCTCATCCTCGAGGATGAGCATCCTTGGGGAGCTGGAGGATTTGCAAGAATCCTCTGATGGCTAATGCACTTCTGGAAATGCGGAAGAAGAAGGTAGAGCATCCCCTCACTTTATATATATAAGAGGATGACAGTAAGATTAGGAATAAACTCTAGACTCTCTCACGACTAGATTGATCATTCAAATCCTAACAAGACCAGTTTCTACCATCATATGCTTGTGCTGTATATTAGATTATCTTTTTGCTTATTTTCTATTCAGTCATTATTGGACAGATAACCACAGCACTCAAAAAAATCCTTCACTCCTAAAACAGAAGGAATCTATGATAGTGGTGGGTTTGCTTTTTTTTTTTTCAGATAACTGGCAGATCTCCCTTGTAATGCTCCAATAAAACCTCATCCAAACTGCCAAAAACTCTGTAGTACTAAAGATATTTTTTTTCTTTTTTGCACCCTCTCTCAAAACTGAGGGTTTAAACCTAGACACCAGAGAAAGGCTTTCCACTGTTGATTCTTCATACTGAAATGTGAGACATACTTCTATGAAGACATGCATGAATTTACATTAAAGAAAGGTATATGAAAAATGCACATAACTAAGTCAAAGAGAATGGCTATCTACTTCTGATTTTCTTTTTTTTTGTTTACTTTTGTTCATTTAGATATTTTGTTGTCTTATAAATATACTATAGGGCTTCTCTGGACAGATGCATGTTCTGTTTCTCTGAATGTAAGAGTGTTTCCTTACTGGATATTGCTCTCAGAAGACCACTGGCATATGATAAGTTTCACAAATTACTCATCCTAGTTATGCAAATTTCTGATATAAAGGTTGTCTCAAATTGCGTAAAAGACAGGACTTTTCAACCTCTGCTGTTTTTCAGCAATTTTTTCCAAGTCTTTGTTGCAGTTCTCACAAATTCTTCATTCTAAAGGAAGAGGCAAGACTGATCATACCATCTTGGCAGATCTGATAGCCTTTGGCAAGTTCAGCGAGTTCACCTTCAGGCAAAATGGTACAATCTGAGTAGCAACCAAAAACCATTGTATCTTTTTTAATTGTATACTGAAAAGTTTCTCTAGTTACCTCACATTTGAGTATGGAAAAATTGTGAAGTACAGTGATTAGAAAACTTTTCAAGCTATGTGTCAGACATTTACAACACTGGGCCTGATTCTTTCCTCTTCTGCTTCACCGATCCTGTAATTCGGTTTGCTTGGTCTGCTTACAGTGGGAAATAACTGTCTAGAAATCTTTCGAGAATAAAAGCAAAAACTGGAAAATACACAGATGCCATGTTAACAGCTACTGCATTCCTCTTTAGATATTAAAAAATACACAGAGGTGCTTGCACTGCATTTTCATTCCCTTCCTTTCTCCTTTAAAACTTTTCTCTTGAACCAATTCAAACCCTATATCAATGAAAGTCACTCCTGGCAAGTGGTTTTGAAGTTAGATAAAAAGCTAGCACCTCATTTTATGGCTTTCCATATAGCTTTTAATACAGAAAATGTTGCAGTAGCCCAGTGTAAGTGGAACAGAAACTGTTTCATTTCATGCAGAAAAGTTTGGGGTTTTCTTATTTTTAAAAAAAAAAATAAAATCATGGTTGAAGATTAGGTGAATGAGACCTGGGTCCTGTTAACATTAATGACAACAGAAATGCTTGCTGAAAATCTGTCCTGCATTAAACATCAGAAAAGTGTGTTTTCTGCCAGGACTATTCTGCTAGTATAAGATCCTTTTTTTTTTTTTTTTAACTTCTGATCACTGATATTTTTATTGGATGTGCATATCTCAAAAATAGGGATCTTCTAGAGTATAGAATATAGAAAAATGAGAGAGAGGTGAAAAATTCCAACTTTACAAATAAGCTTCAAGTGCAGGACAGTACTTTTTTCTCTACCTGAAGGCCTATAATAAAAACATGATTGCATCCTATATTTTGTTGGAAATTTTTCAAACTTCTCATGATGTATGACTTATCATTCACTTTCTCCTTTTTCGCAAGTTGAATTGTTCTAAATAAATGCATTCTTTTGAAATTAAAAAATTACATCTCAATTTAAAATGCATTTTTTTTTTTTAATTTCTATTTCTTTCTTTTTTCTTGTTTTCTCTTTTTTGGAACATAAACTTTGGGGCGTAGTTCTCTTCTTTCTTGGCTGCAGGCAGAACACAGCCCTGCATGTTCAGCTTTTAAGATTCTGAAGAGGTTGTCATCCTCCCCCTATGAATATATCCATGAAGATCTGTAGTTACTTTCTTCAGGAGAACAAGTAAATTACATGGCTGTAATTCTTGTTCTCTGGAGAAACTATTAAATACAGATCTTCCCTTATCTTTTCACTCTTATACTAAGGTCTTGCCTTTCAGTTCATTAGGAAGGCATTTGAACATCTCAAAGTGTCCTTTGGCTTAGGATTTGTCATCTGTGTCTTCCATAGTGATATGTGCTTCATGCTCTTAGTAAGAGTCTTTAAAATCTTTTTTGAATGATCTCTTTTGAAGAGTGCTCTGACACCTGTGTTAGATCGTGAAAACCCAAGATCTGTATTTAATTCTACTTTTGTACAGTGAACACTTCAGGTGAGTATTTAATATGCCTTCATTATATAACCAACAGTTTGAGCCATATGTTTTTCTAGATAGCAATCAGAACCTTAGCTAATGATTCACTTGTACCCCTATTCCATGTGCTAACTCACCTCATACTGTATTTTTTACTGTCATGTTTGTATTGGACATCTAATTCAAAATAAGTCTGCTGCAAAAAACACTGAAAGCAAAGGTGTAACAGGTGACTGCTTAATACTGTACATCTATTAGTGTGCACATTTAAATGGATGTAAACAGGACTCAAACAGTGGGTCAGTGAAGAAATCAGCTGTTTCATGTTTGTATAGTAAAAGTTCAGTGTGAACCTTTTACAGCTGGCTGTGATACGATTATTCCCATAAAAACATGCAGGAAAATAAAAACAATGTCCAAAGATAAGATTATGGGAGGGGGTACATCCATGCTATTAAAGATGAAACCATATGAATTTGTTTATTCTTAAGACTGACCACAGCAGATGATGTTAGCCAGTTTATTATAGTGCTTTCAACTTGGAAAATTTAGGAGGGCTTGCACCAGGATTTGTGCTGTTCTAATTGACAAATAGACCACTTTACCTTTTCCCAACTACTTTCTAGACTGTTTATCTTCAGAAATCTGGGTTGCAAGATACAAATCTGGTAACAGGGGGTTACTTCAAATAAGGAGTTGGTTGAAATCCTTTGATACTACTACTGCTGCTTTGTCATATTGTGGTTGTACTAATGTAACAAAGAGGACATTTTGGTGTGTAGGGATCTGTAGCATATATTCACTCCTTGATATTACCTACTGCCAATCCCTAGCTTTACATTTGTACACAGACTCTGCTTTTTATTGGGTTATAGTGGTGACAAAAAATGCCTTGAAATACTCAGATCTTTTTTAAAGCATCTTCTGTGGTGATGAATAAAGCATTCAAGAAGGTATTCAGAATTAATATATCAAACAGTGCATACAATAGACAGGAAAATAACAATTAGAAAGTTGTAATGTTATTTGCTGTAATAGTCAGTCCAGTTATACATAATTTTCTGTGCGATTTTAAGTGCTCTGTAAAGACGTAAAATATTAATATTTTTAAATCTGTAGTTACAAAAGACCAATATTAATTATCACTATGCTTAATTTATACAAACTTTATAGAAAAAGTCATAAAATATTGGAACACTTTCTATTTCATCAAGCTAGTGTACTGACAGCCCTGGTTTTGTAGACAAAATTGAGTCATATTTTGAATATTTTAAAGCTTTTTTGGTTTGGTTGTATGCTGTCCCTATCTCCCCACAAATTCCAATTAAGTCACTGAATTTTCCTCCCTCTGGACTTAGAGAGAAATAACAAAGTAATTTTACAATCAGTAGGAAAAAAATGTGGAGATTAGTTATATCAAGTACTCCAGTTTTATTTACTTTATTTATATAGAAATAAAATAATTTAAATTTTAAATATTGTTATTTAAAATCTATGTGTTTAAACTGATGCAGCACCACTGCCTCCTATGGAGCTGTTTCATTTTATCCAGGCAGAAAATTTGGATCATTTCATACCTAAAAATATTGAAAGGAACACTTAAAAGTATTTATTTCAGTTGAAGTAAAACCGTGTGCACGATTGATTTATTGTTTTTCATTATTATTCCTGTCAGTTATGCAACTGTATCCATACTTTAAGCAACTTGTCTCATTCTTTCCTCCATTACAGATCGAAGTAGTCAATACTTTCAAGAGTGGCACTTCCTTTCAGGGGGCTCTAAGGAGACAGTCCTCCGTCACAAGCCAGACCCAGGATGTAACCAATATTTCTAGCCCTAGTCACGTATCGTTATCCAATGCTCTTTCCTCTCCTACCAGCACATCTGCTGCTGCGGCTGGGCGTGAGTGTGTATTCTTAATGCATCAGACCTACAGAGATGCCAACTTACGTAGCAGTCATTTAAGACTAAGCTACTTTTGCCCATTCCCATTTTGTCCTGTTATGTTTATTAGTTTACACATACCCAGAAACACATAACATGATTACTTTGTGTACAGTAGATACTCTTCATGATTCATTGCAAGTTTTGTTAACTTACTGTTAGGACAGCTATTTCTAGTAATTTTTTATCCAGTGTATGGAGATTCTGATTTTATTTGAGGCTTCAGCGTCATATTTTCTCAATCTCATTGGACATATTTTCCACTGCTTATAAAATATGTACTTTAAATTATTCTACTAATGTCTTACATTAAGCAATAGAGCTTGTCAGATAAAAGATCATTCCATGTGGAAGATTGCATGTGATACAGGTCACTCACGTCCAAGAAGGATGTATTCTAATTAGCCACAGGTACAAGAAGGAACAAGGAAATAGAGAATCTACTTTATTGTGCAAGCTAAGGGATTAAGGTTTATATGAATGGTGAAAGAATAGATTTGTTATCTCTAAATTCACTGGGGAAGGTAAGCATTAAGGAAGGAGGGAGCTAGACAAGTTGAAGGACAGTGTTGAAACAACAAAACAAATGTGGTAACAAATTTCTTTGTTAGAAGGAGCAGATTTCTAAACAGTGAAATCCTGCCACAGCTTTCTTTTTGAAGCAAACAAAGCATCTAGTGAAGAGGTAGTGAAGTGAATAAAAACTTTGAAGTGGCTAATAAGAAAGGGCTGCTTCACTAACAGTAAAATTCCAGTTACTCAGGAAGACAGATCTGAGTAAGTTACAGATCTAACTTTGGTTTTGTATTTTTATTTCCATTTATTCAGGACTTTAAGTAGCTTTTTTTTTTTTTTTTTTACAGCATAACCAGCATGAAAATAATATTTAAATTAATAGAACTCAGTTTACAAGCTTGTCACTTAGTTTACAAAGTACTGCAGTATGTTCCTTATGCAAGTTCTAGTGAAAAGTTGGCCAAACAGACAAGAACCAGTCTGGCCAATAGAGGGAGGGAAGGCAGACAGAGAGACAAGGCAGACAAGAGAAGGAAATAACTCCAGAACTCCTGCAGAAAAAAGGAAGCTTGACCTTTCCATTCCATTTGAGTGCAAACCCCCTCAGCATTTGAACATCAAGCATTTAGACATGCATTAGAAGTTTTGTTGGAGTTAAAAGTCAAAGGAGAAACTTTGCTTTTGCTAGGAACTCAGAGAGTCATAAAGGTTCCAACTTTGGCAGTTGCTCCTTGGAGAAAATTTGTATCTTTTCCTGTCTTTTCTTGGGAAGTTTGGCCTGCTAACTTTTACTCCACCAGCACCAACTGTTTCAGGGCGGCAGCACGATTGAGAGAAGCAAAGTCCCTGAGCTGCATGCCACTGCTGTGCCACAGGCACTGTAACCTGCTTCTGAGAACTCAGAGCCCAAGTTTCCTCATTTCCACACTGAGCAGGACACAAAACACCACACTCAAACCAGCCTTTCATCCAGGGAACAATTTCCCATAATAGCATCTCTACATTTGAGCAGAAAACAGAGCACAACTCATTCTGCCTTGGTAAATGTTTCAATAACCTCCTGTAGCCAGCAGTCTGAAAGGATATATCTAATAAAATAGACAATTTATCTTCCCTCTTTTCTCTCCATTGCAGCAAAGCAACTAACAATTGAATAATCTTGTGTCTTGACAAAGGCATTACTAGGCTGTGGGCTGAAGTTAGTTAATAGGAGAAAGCGTAATCTGCTACAGTCTTTGATGTCTTGTTTTATTTGGAAAAATAAAACATGTCTACAGAGCTCATCAGTTATAGCCACATTTATTCAGTAAAATAAAAATCATGTGATTGATTTGTTAAGCTACCCAGAGATATCTATCTCCATTGCAGAGGACAATTAGAGATTTGGCCTTTTAAAGTGGTTATTCTGGACTGTTTGTATTTTATTACTGCAATATAATGTCTATTTAGTATCAAACCAGTGCATAGTTCAAATTATAACCCTTAGGGAAAGTTTTGATTTATTAGTACGATGACACAAACCTAATGAGTGACAGCAAAAAAGCAAAGAAAAAAAATTGGGTTTTAGTTTTAAATTGGGAGTTTACAGTTGGTTGTTCATCTTCCAGAACCTGGAAAACCTTTCCTAATCCAAATTTCATAGAAATTGGGTATGGTTTTGTGAATTGGCATTTTCTGAGAAAATTTCAGTTGTAAAATGCACACCCAGGTCTACTTTTAAGCTCCTTGCTTAGAATGTATGTGATGGGACAGGACTGACTTCTTTCTTCAGAACGAATTAAACCTTCTTCCTATGGGGTGTAAGGGGATAACGGAATAATTGTACCTCTGATTTTGAAGCCTTTTTCTCCCTTCAGGAATTTTAAACATACTGCATATGTAGATATATTATGGGGAGTGTCAAGGGAAAGCCTTAAGGGTATAGCAAAGACAAAAGGATCTAATATTTTAAAGGGCCCGATATGAGATAACTGTCAGGAAGGTTTATTTTCAGAGAACTGGTACTTAAGCATGTTGCAACAGTCAGGATATTTCAGGTGTCATTTTGGGTGCCCAAAATGCAGAGGTTCTGATATCAATATTTATTAAAAAGTACAAGAATCACATGATGCTCTATCAATAAGAATATGTAATTCTTAATTTAACAGAGCATTTATGGAGTTCTTTACTAATTGTATAGCTATTTAATATATAGTTCATTGTGACACCTCACCAATCTGTAGATTTCTTCTGCAGATTTATAACAACATTTTGGAATTTTTAAAAAAATTGGGATTTTTTAGTTTTTGTTTGATTCAAAGGTTAGCACAGGCTTAAAAATAAATCTGCCTGTCCAATGCAGCCACATCTACAGTAGTTTGTGAAACAGAGTAGCAAGTTATTAACTGAAATTTTCAGTTATTCATAAGTGTGGCACATTCAAATCTTTCATAGGGTTGTGGAATACCATAATTAAAAGCCATTTAAACAAAGGAATATTTACTACAGTACAGTTTCTCTAGTTATGATGATACTTCTTAGCTGTCGCAATGTTTTTGCCAACAACTACAAATTTCTGGATGTCAGCATTAGTTGATAACAATGAGGTGCATATTATGAGTGTCTTATCTCTTTTGAAAAACATCGCAGCTTTAAATAAACATAGTGAAAATTTCTGCAAATTAAAACCTGGCATTTGATGTACTCTGATAAAAGTAGCAAATTTATTTAAATACAAACTAAATATGCACACATATTTAATATGCACACATTTAAGCTACAGAAAATGAAAACATGGAAAGAATAAGGCTCTGTGTGCAATATGGTCTCAGCCAAGTTCTCAGGTTTTGTCATGTCACATGCATGAACACACAAACACATAACACACACAGTCTTCTATCATTGGAAAGCTGTGACACTACAGAGATAAAAGTGGGTTTAGATACCAGGCTATCCCATAGCAGCTGTGGTGGATATGTATTTTATATGCATTTCTGTCTACATTTTATTTTGGGAAAACAGAATCAAATCGAGTGGGGCAATGGAGCATCTCTTTTACTATTGAAGCTCAGAATTTGCAACAAAATGTTAGCTTGTGCTTGAAATAAAGTATATGCCTAAAGCCTTTGCTACAACAGTGCTTAACTAGGTAGAGGATGAGTAGATTTAACTGTACACAAAGTAAACAAGTTATTTTTATCCTAATCTGTTTATATCTTGTTCTTAGATGTTGTTTATATTATCAGTAGGTAGCCCCTTCAAAAGAACATGGTTTCAAATTTTCCAAGACAGACGCACATTTAATATTCCTTTGTACTTGCTCTTGCTCCTTCCTCTCATTCTCATATATAGTTAATTCTGTTCCTAAGTGGAGGCAGCCAGAAACTGCAGGTCCCTTACAAAAAAAACCCCTCCTTTCTTTCATAAAAGGTTATGACTAAAAAATAAGTGTAGGAAATATTGGGGGAACAACAAACAAAAAAAACAAAAACCCATGAAAAGGCAACCTCCCAGATCATGAATCTGCTGTAGTTTCTGTATTTGCAAGTTCCTTTTCCCTTGTTCTGTTGAGGTCTGTCATTTTTGTCTGAAATTTTTAGAAGTGACTATTTCATAGAATTACTAACAACTTTTTATTATATTAATTCTAGCAACAGTGGCCTAGAACAAGCCACTTGTAAGGATGACACAGGAAAAAATACACAGTGATTAATCCAAATTTTATAGCAGCCAATTAAAATCTTACCAAACAGTCACAAAATATTCTCAGAATTATTTGTCCATCATGCAGCTCTCTGAAGGTTTTATTTTTGGTTGATTGGTTCGTTTTTAAAAAGTGATTTCAAGCAAAAGAATTGCATAGCACCCTTAAGGCTGTATTTTTGTTCTGTTTCACTTTTTGGAGGGGGCTACAATCTTCAAAAGTGGGGCTAATTTGCATGGAAAGAAACTTTTTTCATTTTCCCTTTAATTAAAAAACAGTTGAAATTTTTTTACATATTTAGTTTCCTATAAATGTGATCATTCAGCTGGAGAGACTTTAAAACTAAAACTGAAGATAAAATCTTCAGTCTGGATCAAATTTTCTCACAAAGAAAAATGGGAACAAATTTCTTTTAAAAACAATAATCATCTGTTGTAATAAATTTTAAGGCAAAGATTACTGTCCGATGTTGATCTATATTCAGCTCACAGCCCAAGTCAAGTGAACATATGAGCCTTAGTGAAAATGCCAGTTGCTTTCTGTGGCAACATGGTATAACTATCACATGAGGAAATAGAACAAGCAGAACTTAAACGAAGTCCTCATCTAAAATTATGTTTATAAAAGTTACACCATTTGGGAACATCATTAAATTAGAGGCAGAGATATACTATACTAAACCTTAGAGGTTCCCACTGGTTA